TATGTATGATGTATGTATAGTTCTTGTTAATAACTGGTCGATTGGATATTAAATACATGACACCAAATATTCATGAAACTGTATGTATGTATAGTTCTTGTTAATAACTGGTCGATTGGATATTAAATACATGACACCAAATTATTAATATTCATGAAAAAAGCTATTATTTTATAGTTTATACAAAAGCTATTTTATAATTGTTTCCCCCAAGGTTTTTAGATGGTTTATGCATCGTTGATCGTCAGGCTTACATGACCACAGAGATATAGACAACGATTTCTGTGACTCATTTACGTAATTTACTTGTGTACTTTCCAATGATAACACAAGATACACATCCAAATAAAATCAGGCTCTCAAACTCATCAAGGAAATCGGTTTCCATAAACCATTTAAGTAAACATTTGACAGTCTCTCTGGAGAACGGTCCACTTTGGGCTTTCCCACTTCAGAAAGCAGAGGGCTGCAATGACACTGAAAGTCCTGAGAGCAGAGCTGACCTGATAAAAGCCAGAAGTCAGACCACCTGTTCTTTACATATATTAGGGTCATTAGTACAGTGAGCTTGAAGATAAGATAATGCTGAGACGGTTGTGAGACCTTTGACCCTCTTCTCACAGCTGTCATAGTAGAGCACTAAGTGACTGTGTTCCATGAGAAAACTTCTTAAGCGTCCTTTCTACAATGCTTAAATGTCTCTGAATTTGAAATTTAGTGATCCATAAACCTTCCCTGGAGCTGTGCATTTAATTCAAAGCATAAAAATTATACACTCGTCAAAAAAGTGGCCACTGAACAGGTCTCCATTTATCAGCAGAAGATTAAACGTTTGATAGCAAGATTTATTTTCACTTACCCTTTCATCTCAGGCCATTTTTTGCTAAGCCAATTTCTCACGGGCAGTTAAAGATTAATGCTGATTAATACTCCACTTAGAGCAGTAAATACCATATTACACTGATCTTAACTACTGATCTTCTGTTTAGTGCCCTAAATGGTCCAGTTTCAAACTCAGTGAGCATTTTAAGGCATCATAAGTGCACTGCAGATGCAAAGCCTGTTCCAAAAGGTAGCCAAGCATGATTATCTTGCCTATTAAGATACCTTATCTTGATGATGCTGCCTTCTAAGATAACAGTGTGTGAATAATTATTTATACATAAATTATTCACTATAACTATATGCATTCAAATTTTCACACTATCATACAAAAATGTAGGTTCAGTAAGATTTTTTAAAGATGTTAAAGTCTCTTCTGCTCACACAGTTTGCATTTATTTGATCAAAAATACAGTAAAAACAGTAATATTGTGA